TGGTCGCAAATATCCTGCTACAGTCCCGAACCTCGCGCTGTGAAATAATATTCCAAACCGCTAACAATTCTTGCACAAACTGTATCCTTTTTTTCGCCTTTTTTCTTTTGGTATTTACTGAAGCGGTTGATGTAGCTGGGGTAGAACAGTCATTCTCTTACTGGAATGCTGCTGTGAACACTTGTGTACAATAGTGTTACTTCAGATACTTGCTGAGTGGACCAATTTATAGATTTGTTGTTTGGAAAGTGATCGCGACGCGATAAGCTCCAGTCGGCACAATGCTCTTGCTTTCCTTGAGCCCTTTTTTTACTTACTTTCTGTAATTCTGAAACCACAAACGCAAAGCCACAGAATAGAAATAAACTGCTGAATTACACGACAGTCTGGAATTACTTCTAGCAGAAAGATCGACGTTAGCTGTACCATGACTCGTAGAATACACTTCACTTCACAAAGACGCGGCGTGGCGTATAAATACACTTGGCTGACTGCTGCAGGCACCAGTACGAACGAAGGCAGTAGAATACCAAGACGCTTGAAGCCAGTGCTTGCTTTATCAAGAAATGGGTCCGCATACGCGGATCATGCTTCTGGCTTTTTGCCTGTTTGAAGTGTCCCTCGCGTTTAATGTCGGCATCAGGAGTCGAGCTGATGACTCAGATTTCTTGCCTGGCCAGCCATCTGATGATCACGTTATCATCTCAGATCTTGTTCCTGAAGAAAGTTCAGTTGTCATAAAACCAGTGTCGTATTCCTATACGACAAAGAACACAGATCAGAAGCCGTTAGGAAGCGTCGTCCATGCATCATCACCTGGAGATCAACAGCGCAGATCCGCAGTGAATCATGGGACAGTTAGGCCAGCTGCAAGTCACGATACAGTTGTACACCACGTCACTCCGCAGCGCAGCGACTCGCCTCAACAGCACGAAAGAGCAGCTGCTGAAGAGAACCGCCAGCCACGACACGAGAAGACGACGCATCACGGGGCAGAACCAAGTCGCAAACACGTGTATGAAGAGCAACAAGGGAGGAAGCACTTTCGTGATGAAGACGAGGAGGGACAGGAAGGAACGAGGAATCTTGATACCGTGGCTCGCCATGAGGAGCAGAGAGGGCGGAAACAGCCTCACAGAGAACCCGATGTAGAGGAAGAGGAGGAGGAGGTTCCTGTTCGTCGTGATGAAGTAGGACCTAAGAAGCACCACGTTGGTGCTTCTGAGGTAGTGGAACAGCACGCGGCTCCAACAGAGGTTAAACACCACGGCGGAAAGAAACTGAGGAAACCTGCGGCCTTCGCATACACTGATCAGAAGTCGGAAGCGACTGGAAAAAAATGGCGGGGGCGGCGGCGGCGGCGGAGGCGGTAGCGGTGGTCACGGAGGCGGCCATCATGAGAAGGGAGGCGGAAAAGAACATCACGCAGACCACCACGAAACTGATGGCCACAAGGGTGATAAGGGCTATAAGGGACATCATAGCTACGACAAGGGCGAAAAGGGACATCACGACAAAGAGGCGCACAAGGGTCATTACAGCGACCACGGGGGGAAGAAAGCGGAGCATCATGAAGGAGGAGGTCACCACGGCGAGCACCATCATGGTGAGAAGGGCGAGAAGGGCGCAAAGTACGGTGAAGAGGGTGATCACAAGAAGGGACACAGCACTAAGGGCGAGCACAACGTCCACAAGAAGGACGAATACGAAAAGAAGCACGAGTTCTATGACGAACATCACGAGGGAGGCGAACACAGTAAGTTTGGAGAGTTCTTCGGCGAGCATGAGGGCAAGGAGGGCGGTCACAAAAAGGGCGGACATCACAAGTCCGGTTACCATGACGACCACTTCGGCAAGAAGGGCCATCACGAAAAGGGACATCACCACGACGATCACAAGGGCCACAAGGGCGAGGATGGCCATGAGGAACATCACGGACACAAAGAGGAGTACGGCAAAAAGGAGGGTCACGAGGAAGGAAAGAAGTGGGGTTATAGCAGTGGAGACGGCGGTCACGGAGGAGGTGGGGGCGGC